TGTCCCCCTATTAACAATAGGGAATATGTCTTTGTTGTTTACAAGGCCTCTCAAAGAGCGAGACTGTGAAAATGCATGGTCGTGCTCAGATAGATTTTAGAAATCATCTGCTTATTGACAGTCAAACTCGGAAATTGAGAAACACTTCTGGATGTAATAAGGATGACGAAGAATCTTACCTTATAGTTCATGAAGAGACATTAAGCGACATAGGAAATGGGCTATACACTAACTGCACACTTGTCCGGAAGGACAAGTGGGAGATTGAAAGGATTAGTGTCCTTCCAACAAGTGTATTAATTTGATAGAGGGTTTGGAATTATTAGAAAGCTAATTCTTCAGTGAGGTCAAGTGATCGGAATGCCTAGGTAAAGGCCGCTTCCGATCTGAAATATTAATGTGTAATTAATATTACAACTTAATCTTGACTGAATCCTTCGGGTCGCACCCCAATCGAATAACCGATCCGAGACGACGAATCAATTCGAAGGATTAGATGAGTCATTACAGTATTAAGAACAAAGACGTCGGATGTCGAGCTTGGAGCGTCGAAATCGAGCGTCATAGTTGAGTCAAATTATGTATTCGACGAGACGAGAAATCAAACAAGAAAATGTTTGAGTTAGGTCGTAGGCTCGCATTGGCCTAGCCATGTGAGTATTAGGCTAGCTTAAGCTACCATGCGCATCGCAACACATACCGCAAGCCTAGCATGCATTGCGTGCTAGGCCAAGCATGCTAGCAAGGCTGGTGCACAACGCCGCGAGCATGCTAGCGTGCTAGTGTGCTGCGCCACGCACCCAGCCGCAAGCATGCATCGCATAGTAGCTCTCTATGCGTGCTTGTGCTATGGGTTATGCATGATGGGCATCGCATAGGAGCAATAACATCGCACTAGCATAGCACACGCATTGCTGGAAGCGCGTTGTGTATGCGTGTGTGTAGCTGTGGGTGCTTGCTAGCGAGCAGCGCCAAGCATCAGCCCTTGGCCTCGCCTATCGCACAACAACACGCACCAAGTAGCAGCATCACAGCATCGCATGCGTGTGTGCTGGTTGGCTGGGCTGCCCAGCCTTGGTGCTAGGCGTCAACTGGCAGCCTTGGCAGCCAAGGCAGTCTACTAGCCAGCAAAGTGGCGAAGTGTGTGTGCTGGTTTTGTGTGGGGACCGAAATTAAGGGGGTTTCTTGGTGAAAAAGGGTTTGGTCCCCCCCCCTTAAATGGTCTTCACCTACTCTTGCCCTCCATATGCCACTTGGAGCTTGTTGATTGATTTTTCATTTTAATTTGTTTTTAATTAAAATAAATTGAGGAAAAATGCAATTCTCCCACATTGATGGAGAATGGGAAATCAATGCTCATTTCCCTATAAATACCCAAGTTTTGGGATTTGGGAGAGCACTTGAGTTGAACTGAATAAGGCATCTCATCATTAGTGAGAGAACCTTTAAGTTCGTAATATTTTTGGTTTATTTGGTCAAGTCTCGACTATCCTTCGGTATTAAGAACACTCGGGTTGGGTCGAGGGTGCGAGCCGTAGGAGGCTGTCGCACTTGCGAGGTTAAGCTTTCAAGTAAGAACTCGTGAATCGAGCGAAGCACGCGTCGAGGGTAAGAATGTCTTTCCTCCTTCTCTCTCTTATGTTGTTAATTATGTGATTGCATGTTTAGTTGCTTTAATTAGTGGGCGGGTCTTAGGCGGGTTTCTCTTCCGCGTAGTGTCGGACACTACGAAACCCAACATGGCGGTTAAAGGTTGTTCATCATCGGGTTTGGTTTTGGGGAGATATTTTTAGGTGTCTACAAATAGATCTCTACCCTAAAGTCGAATTTTCCCCGCACAGTATACGCGGACTCATAGCAATCGACCTCTAGGGATACACGACTCCAACTCATCGATGTACTAAAAAGAGTTAGATTGAAAACACCTTCGAACAATGCTCAAGAGAAAAGGAGGTTATGAGGAATCATTATAAGAGAGGATATATCCTCACTTATTCTATGTGTCTGAAAAGGGATAAAAAGAGATCTTTATATAGTATATGAGTGTGAACCATATACAACGAATCTGGTCACGAATGAGAGTGAATCAAATACAATGAATTTGGTCACAAATGAAAATGAACCAGATATAACGAATTTGGTTACCAATTATAACAAAAATGAATAGCATGTATAACCCCTAATTAAGCCAAAAACAATTGACTAATTGAGCATATATCAAGGAATTATCTTAATTTAGGAATCCATGAAAAATACTATTAAATGCAATTTTTGACAAAGGAGAAAGTAATTCTTTTGAAGCACAACTTATTTGGAGTTCTCTATTAAAACTCCAACACAAAACTAGGCAAGGAACCTTAATTAAAATAAATTGTATGTGCTCACTAATTAATTCAAGAATTAAACTGGAGTATGTGTTGATTATTATTATGTTCGTTGTATTCTTGATTAATTGGTTGGAGTCATCACATGTTAAACTGGTATATCATGTAAAGTGTAAGAGGATATGTACCAAAACTCTTGGAACGTATACACCTAGAGTATGAACATGCGGGGGAGTTATGGCCTTTATTTATCCATGGCTTCTAACAAGGGTACAAGACGATGTACTTTCTTTTATTATTAGGATATTTTGATTTTAACACCTAACAAAAACCCGAAAATGGTTTTTAACACCCCAAAAAAAAATGTATTTTAACACCAGACTAAAAACTATAAAAATGGTTTTTACCACCACTTAATTGATTCCGTTTAGGAATCCGTTAAGTGGGGTCATGAGCCACGTGTCGCTTTATTATTGGCCAAAAAAGAAAAAAAATAAAAATAAAAAAAAACCTAAAACTACCCAGCCACCCTAGCCCCACCACTGCCACCTTCTTCTTCACCTTAACCCACAGTCGCCGACGTAGCCACCGGCACACCACCTCCCCCTCCCTCACCAACCGACCTAAACCCATCCCCACCCTTTTCCCGCATCCTTAAACCACCCTAGCCCCACCACCGCCATCATTAGCCACGAATTTCGATTTGCTCTGATTTTCGATGTGCTCTGATTTTATGGTTGTTGCTCCAAGAACGGCCACGAAGTCGGCCATTGATGGCCGAAATCGGCAGGTTAAGGCCACTCAGCCCTTAAACCGGCTGATTTCAGCCATTAATGGCCGAATTTGTCGTCGTTTTTGGTGAAGGAAGGTTGTGGAAACGGCCAACCCCACCACCCCTGAATCGAAAACGGCCAACCCCACCTAACCACTAACCCGATACCCAACCTCACCTTCGAACACCCAAACTTCACTGGATCCCAAAATCCACCCCAACCTAGCCCTAAAACTGTAGTTGTCGGGACCGATTTTGAAGGTGGGGGAATGGTTCAACGTTGGTGGCGGTTCCCGATTTCTAGGTTGCGGGAAGGGAGGAGGAACCAGTTTTGGGTTTTTGGGAAGCAAGGGTACACCGATTTTCGTTGTTAGGGCTGGTTTGGTGGCGAAACCCAGTGACGGGGGGTGGGAGGGGGTGGTTTGGGAGTTGGCTGGGAAGAAGGGCCACCGTTGGTGGCTGCCTGCTTGTTGTTTGAGTTTTTTAAAATAAAATCTTTTTTTTTTCTTTTTATTTATTTTTTTAAAATTTTTAATTTTTGAAAACAAGTAAAATGGTGACACGTGTCACTGTGGACCCCACTTAACGGAATTTTTGGACGGAGACCGTTAAGTGGTGGTAAAAACCATTTTTGTAACATTTGTTTGGTTTTAAAATACATTTTTTTGGGTGTTAAAACCCATTCTTGGGTTTTTGTCAGGTGTTAAAATAAAAAATACCCTTATTTGCGTTGGAATTCCGTCAAGGTGACACTAGTTGGTACTCGCTTGGTTAGCTCCCAAGTGAATGGTCCCTTATTATTAAGGGTAGGTAAGATAAGGAAAATCGTTCGATACGTTATTCAAAGCTATTTATTAATAAATAATAGAGTCATGAGTCAAAGGTAAGTTGGCTTGTGTTGTATGACGAGCAGTTAAGCGTTAGCTGAAGTTACTCAGAAGCTGTTTATTGGTGTTTCTCGGAACTAATTCAGCATCGAGCCTCATCTCAGTTGAAGTTCCTTGGAAATATTTTTGAAGTTTCTAGGAGTTTTTTCAACTCGAGCGTTTTAGCTGAAGGTCATCGAAAATGTTTTCTGATATTTATCGGTACTTTTTCAGCTTAAGGCTCGTCTCAACTAAAGTTCCTCGTGATTATTTTTTGATGTTTCTTGGAACTATTTTAACTCGAGCCTTGTCTAAAGATCCTCAAAATTGTCATTTGAAGTTTATCAGAGCAAGTTTGGCTCGAGCCTTGTCTTAGATGAAGTTCATTCCTTGGTATTTTTCTTAGAAGTTCCTCAAAAAATTGAAATCAAACCCAACTTATTTTTCAAGTGGAATTGGGTTTGAGGGCTAGTTATTTGGGTACTAAAATGGTCTTACCTATTTTCGTCCAAATATATAATCTCCACCCTAGTATGCCAAAAGGAGATCAAAGACCCCACATGACCCTAATAAGCCAAATGCCCTACTATGGCCCATTATTGTCCATCCATGCACCACTATATATTCCCCTCTTAGGGAAAACGTAAAAGGAGAGGTCACTCATACTCCTAAAATGACCATCCTCCCTCTTTCTCTCCCCCCCCCCCCCCCCCCCAAAAAAAAAAAAAAAAAAAAAATTCTCAAGTATTCATTATATGGCATCTAACTTGGCCGTTGAAAGCCCCGCCACAAGATAATTCCTAGGCCCCTAGCAAATTTTGCAGGTCCACACGTTCCCAAATCTGAGGCCCACGAGCAGGTCCTCGTGGCCCGGGAAGTCAACTTTTTGCCGAAACACGTGATATATGATCTTGATATTCTTGATTTACAGTAGCCCACATATTGATGAATTTCTAAAATAATAAGCAACATGAACATGATGAGAACGATATGAAATATTTGGTTGTATAGACTCCTACCATTTTTATGAAGGAAGAAGTTATTATTATTTTTTTTTCATGGTCAAAGTATAAGGAATTGGATGAACAAAATTAATCCAAAGATATAATGGGTTAAGATTTACACTCATAATAGTAGCTACAATTTTACTGTAACTATTGAATAACCTTCGTTATGTTATTATATATGTTTTATCATTGCTTGGTTTGTACACAACAACGTACACGCGAAAGAACATGATGGATAAAATTGACCGAACATGAAACTCGATGAGGAGGCCCAGGTTTATCACAGAGATAAACAAAATATCTTAATGGCAAATTTGTGATTACAACCCTAGGTTTCTGTGTCAACTCTATAAAAAAGAATAAAAACAAAGTACATAAAGATGAACACTATAATGTGGTACTTATGGCATTCTCCTAATTTTGGCGAGACAATTGTCAACAGGTCTTGAGATTGGTAAGTATTTTACAGGACATCCAGGATCAATTCTCTCCAACCTGCACATTAAGCATTACTAGTAAAACATTCTGCAGTAGCGGCGAAAGGCAATCAAAACAACATTGACAAACAAAAATATCAGTTAGAAGCAATCATACTTGTAGTTAAGGAGGAAGTAGTGAAGGAAGATACAGACTTCAAGTTTGGCTAAATCGCGGCCAGGACACATCCTACTTCCAGCTCCAAACGGAATGAAATTTGCTCTTATTTTTGGATCCTGCCCAAAAAAATGCAATCTTATATTTTTGTAAACTTTATTATATATGAATCAAATTTGGAGCTGAGATATTGATTGATGTATAGTACTTACATCCCATCTAGAAGGGTTAAATTCCTTGGAATTGAGAAATTTGTCAGAATTTAAGTGAGCACTTCTTAGCCAGGGCAATATCCTCCAACCCTTAGGTACAGTGAAACCTTTATCAAGCAAAGAAAATTATATCAGTTCGCTTATATGTCAGATACATAGCTGTATCTGATCTATATTAAACCAAGTAGAACCAAAGAATTTTCGGTAGCACTAACCATTGATTTTAACATCCTTGGTTGCCTCTCGAAAAAGTGTAAATGAGATGTTAACCACGCGTAGTGTCTCATCAATGATCTTAAAGGAACCGTAAACATAATTATGGTTAGTCATTATTAAAATTAAACCATTTTTGCTTCAAACAGCATATGAAGAATTATCCATTTGTTTGTTTAATTATATTGTTTATCATGTACAATACCTTGGATAGATACTCCATTTGTCTGGTCTCTTTCAATGTCAGTCCTTTCTGATTTGGCGGCCGTTTGCTTACAATATGCTCTTGTTCTTCCTGGTATCATGGCAAAATCAAAAACTTCAATTCTAAATACAAAGAAAATTTGAACATGTTTATTGAAAGTTGAGATACTCGTATAGTCGTATGTAAGTAAGGCACACTGTGACACTAACCTTGGCTCTTTGGAAGACCTCGGGGTGATCTTCTAAGAGCACAACTGCCCACATAGCTGCATGACCAGAAGATTCATGTCCGGCATTTAAAAACATGATGATTAAGTCTACAATCTCCTCATCGCTCAATTTACCCCCATTCTCATCTTCGATTCCCATCAACATATCCAACATATCCTTCTTTTCTACTTGTCTATTTGCCAATTGTTCTAGCCTTCTTGTATCTACGACGCCCTGAAACATTTTCTGCAAGTTCTTCCTAGCCTAATTCAAAAATTACAGGTTAAAAAAAATCGAAAGAGAGTGAAGTTCGAAAGGATGCTGAAAAATCCAGAGTTTACTAACCTTAAGGGCGTTGTGATAAGCAAAGCCCGGCAGGTCAATAGCCATAGACTTCAGTCCATGATTCAAAGTAGTGTACTCCTTTTCCAAGGCCTCCAGGATGGAATGATCAGTACTCGTTTCACCCACCATAACATACATGATCACCTTAAAAGCAATCTTCCTCATCTCAGTTAAGAACTCGATTGGTCTCGACATGCCAGCCCATTCCTCAAGTGAAGTGATTGTGATTTCTTCAATGTGCTTGAGGTAAATGGACAATGCCTCTTGGCCACTAAGGGCAGCCGTGGTAAGCCTTCGAAGTCGCTTGTGTTCTTCCGGGGTAATGCCATGAAATGCCTTTTTCCCCATGAGTTTGGTGATTGATTCAGGGAAACCAGGCCCAAAAGTTGCATCATCTGACAAAACTTTTTTGCAGGATTTAGGTGTTGTTACTATGACACAGGGTTTTCCAAACATTACAGCTCTGTATATTCCTGTAGGCCCAAATCTGTAAATTTTTATCCAAACATGTCAATAATATAGTCAATAACAGATTAGAATAAGTCCACTTATTCATTATACTAAAAGTTACATGTACAAGTGTACAACATAGATGTTAACTTAACTAAGGGACATTTCAAAAAGGAATACGCTATAAACAGAACAACAAGAGTAACCGAACAATAGAAATATCGAGTTAGAGTGACAAAGAGAGACCTTTGGGCAAGGGTGGAGATGAAGGAATCAGGGTTATCGGACTTAAAGGCCTTAAGGAAAGATAATTGAGTGCCAATGGAAGGCCATCCCATATCACCAGGAGGAAGTTGTCCTCTCATTTTGCCTAAACTCCTCACATAAAACCACTCATTTGCATTTTTTAGGAGCCCAAAAAATGCCAATAAACCTCCTAAAATAACAGTTAACACCATCCAAACTGACCACCCTATCTCCATTTAATTTCCTACAATCAAAAAAGTTCGAAATATTTTTTTGTTTGATGATTTTTTTTTTCGATTGAAGAAAACTAGTTCATATAAGATGATTGGTTTTCTTTGTATGTTGTAACTTGAATTTATGTTCAATATATGTAGCCTGTATTTATAGTTAAGAAACATGTACTATTGTAATATTTTTTTATGTGTAACATATGCTTGTAATTCTAGTATCAAATATATGCATGATATGGTGACAATGGTGTATAAATATCTGATACGTTTGTGACATACATGAATCAACCTCTGAAAATACTAAAAATCTTAAAACTTTAAAAAAAATTAAAAAAAAAAAAATATTGAATATAATCAGATACTTTACGACCTTGGACGATTAGGGTGGAATTAATAATTATAATTTATAAGGTGTTGGTTGAAATTGATTAAGAAATCAGATATTCTGATGTTATTATCGTGTAAGTAGAGTATACATCAGACGATCAGAGTATAAGACTCCTTTAAAAATCAAAAATAATAACAAGGTCGCTCTAATTAAGACGTATTGTTAAATCATATCATATGATTAAGATATTTGATGCCAAATATTATTTCTTAATTAGATTAGAAAATGACGATGATTATGACTTTACGCGAATGAATGAGGTCACAATTTTGTTTATAATTTATAAAATAAATTCTGTATATTTTATATAATAATGGGTCCATAGCTCAGTGGTAGAGCAATTAGGTCACCGGTTCGAACCCGGTTGGGCCCTACATAAATAATTTTTGATTTCTTTTGATACAGAATCTTAAAGTAATAACAAAAAAAAAACCTCACCAATACCATACCTTAACTCTCTCGATCCTATTAATCCAAAAATCTTTTGTATAAAGTGATTGAAAAAGTAAAATAGAATTACCTATTTAATCAACTATAGCTTCTTTTTTTTTTTTTTTTTTCCGGATACACTCAAGGGAAATTCCTTCATGATCAAAGATACTCCATGACCATGTTATTGAATAAGGCAAGCCTTATTTGGTTAAAAAAGATAATATTTAAATCTTAACACAATAAGAGAAAATATATTAAGTAGCTAAAGCCAAACATTCAAGTACAACCATCACACTATATGTTGAGAATACTCTAGAAGCTACGCATGCCACATCAGCAGAATCAAGAATGAAGGAAGAATCTGTTATAACAACTTGATGATCTGGCAAAGTTGTTATAACCAACTTCTTACTTAAAGAATTTCTTTCCTGCTATTTTACACATTGATGTATATATAGTTAGCTTTAATCTTTTTTTCTATTCATCCAATTAATACACAATTTTTCGCTTCTTCCAAATATTCTCTCTCAATTCATTTTCTGCCATTGTTGAATGCTCAAGCTTGCTGCTGGAACTTCTAACATGGTATCAGAGCAGGTTTAGCTCGTTGCGCTTCTTCTGCAAAGTTGATCATCTCCGGTTTGTTCTTCAATTTTTCATTCTTCTACATTTGCTTGACGTTTTTCTGGAGAATTGAAATTCTTCTTTGATCTTCAATTGTTGCTCATTCTTCATAGATCGATTGCTGGAATAGTTCTGTTTGATTGATAATTGTTCTTGATTGATTCTTCTTGAATTAGTTTCCTCAATTTATTTTTTTTTTAAGAAAATTACTTCTGATTCAACTATGGATAGTACAAATGTTAGAATGCCTTTCTTAGATCCTTCACAAGATCATATATCTCCTTTCTATTTGCATCCTTCGGATAACCCTGGTATGAAACTTGTTTCTGAAAAGTTTAATGGCATTGGTTATGGTGATTGGAAAAGATCTATGTTGATTAGTTTGTCAGCTAAGAACAAACTAGGTTTTGTTGATGGTTCAATTGAGAAACCTACTGATTCTAACTTCTTGAGAGCTTGGGAACGATGTAATAGCATGATCATATCCTGGATATTAGGAGTATTAGATCACAATTTGGCTAGAAGTGTTCTGTATTTTGGTACAGCAAGAGAAATTTGGGTAAACCTTGAGGAGAGATATGGTGCTTCTTCTGGCACTGTACTCTATGCTCTTGAACAAGCAATTAATGAACTAGAACAAGGTGTTGATGGTATTTCTACTTTTTACACCAAAATCAAGAGATTATGGGATCAATTAGACGATGTGGATCCTCTTCCAATATGTCAATGTACAAACTGCAATTGCAACATTGTTCAGAAGATGCTCAAATCTCAACAGGACAAAAGACTTGTTCAATTCTTGATGAAGCACAATGATGGTTTTGAAGTAGTATGAGGTAGTATATTGTTAATGCAACCTCTTCCTGTGATATCTCATGCATACAGACTTTTAATGCAAGAAGAGAAACACAAGAAGCTGTATAAGGAACATAGAGAATCAGTTCCAGAAGATGTTATGGCTTTGAATGTGAATAGAGGAAAACCACAAGAAAGATGGAATAACAGATCAAGGCAGACTGTTTTTCATAATAATAACAATAATTTTCAGGCTCAGAAGTTCAATGTTGGTGCAGAAGGTGTTCAGATAACTGTAAACTACTATTGTGATCACTGCAAAATGCCAGGTCATAGCATGAAAAGATGTTACAAGTTGAATGGCTATCCACAGAATTTCAAGAACAAGAAAATTGCTGCAAATGTTCATAGTGGTGACCATTTCAATTCAACTGATGAGCAGGGAAGATTGATTATACCACCAGCACAAGCTCAACAATACCTAGAGTTTTTGGCTACTCAAAGCAACAATCAAGAATCTGAAGAATCTAGAGTTTCTGGCTGCAAATCTGCTAATGTAGCAGGTAAAATTTGCCTATTATCCTCTGTTGTCAATAGTTGGATAATAGACAGTGGCGCCACTGACCATATCTGTCATGACAAATCTTTGTTTGTAAGTTGGCATGAACTACATGGTAATGACAATTATATTACCATCCCTGATGGAAGAAGAGTAAATCTCACACATAAAGGAAATGTTCAGTTAAACTCTGAAATCATTTTAAGGAATGTTTTATATGTTCCTGATTTTAGGTTTAACCTCATTTCTATACCTAAAATCTGTCTGGATCTAAAGTGTACTGCAGTGTTCACTGATAATACATGTATTCTCCAAAGTTCTTCAATGAAGCCTCAATTTCTTGGTAAACTCAGAAATGGACTTTACTATCTTGAAGACAGCTTGCTTCATCAAAATCAATGTCAACAGAACATGGCAGCTGTTACAATTTCTGAAGATCAAGTCAATAATACCAAGCTTTGGCATTTAAGAATGGGTCATCTACCTGTTTCTCAGCTTAGGTATGTTCCTGTATTTTCTAATAAATTGCAGAAACCTTGTTTAGGCAGTGATTTTTGTCAAATTTGTCCTGCTTCAAGACAACCTAGGATGTCTTTTTCCCCTAGTTCAATAAAAACTACTTGTGCTTTCCAATTGTTACATCTGGAAGTTTGGGGACCTTATAAAGTCCATGCTCATACTGGTTGCAATATATTTCTCACCCTTGTTGATGATTTTACAAGAATGACTTGGGTTTTCTTCATGAAACAAAAATCTGATGCTATTTCTGTTTTCTCAAATTTTTTGAGTTTTATTGAAAATCAGTTCAATTTACATGTAAAGTCAGTCAGATCAGATAATGCTCTTGAGTTATGTGAAGGAAAGATGAAAGTTCTATTTCTTATCAAGGGTATAGAACATCAAAGAAGCTGTCCAGACACACCCCAGCAGAATGGAGTGGTAGAGAGAAAACATAGACATTTGTTAGAGACCTCTAGAGCTCTTTATTTTCAGTCTAAACTACCTGTAAAGTTCTGGAATGAATGTGTCCTTTGTGTTGTTCACTTAATAAACAGAATGCCATTATAGGTTCTTCATAATAAGAGTCCTTATGAGTTATTATTTGGGAGAGCTCCAGACATTGATCACTTGAGAGTTTTTGGTTGCTTATGCTTTGTTTCTACTCTCCAGCAAGGTAGAACTAAGTTAGATCCTAAGGCTCAACCTCATGTTTTTATTGGTTATTCTCCTGGTCAAAAGGGATATAAGGTCTTAGATTTGGCTACTCATAAAATCCACATGTCTAAAGATGTTGTGTTTAAAGAACACCATTATCCCTTCCATTTTTCATCACTCACAACATCATCCTCACCTTCACCATTTTTCCTACCAATTGTCACAGAATTCACCCCTATTTTTGATGATAATCTACCAGATATTTTCATTTTACATAGTCAAGAACCTTCTCATCCTCCTTCTCCTCCTCCTTCTCCTCCTTCTTCTCTTTCTCCTCATTCTCCTCACTCTCCTCCTTCTTCTCTTTCTCCTCCTCCTGTTCCTACTCTCAACAGAACAGATAGAATCAGGAAACCTCCATCTTGGCACACTGATTACCTTTGTAATACTACTACTACTTCTCACAGTCCTCCATATTGGTGCAATTTGATTCATTTTTCAGACACTCCCTCCTCTCATCATGCTTTTGTTTGCATGACTGAAACTTTACTTGAACCTACCACTTATGCTGAAGCTGCACAAGATCCAAGATGGGTTGCAGCAATGACTAAGGAGTTACAGGCTTTAGAGAACAACAAAACATGGGTTGTGATGGATCTCCCAGTTGGTAAAAAGGCCATAGGCTGCAAATAGGTTTACAAGATCAAGCTTAAAGTTGATGGGTCTGTTGAAAGATTTAAGGCCAGATTAGTTGCAAAGGGTTTCACTCAGAAATTTGGTATTGATTTCACTGAAACTTGTAGTCCAGTGGTTAAAATGGCTACTGTCAGGTGTGTCATTGCCTTAGCAGCTAGCAGGGGTTGGACTTTCTATCAGTTGGATGTGAATAACGCTTTTCTTCATGGTGATCTTCATGAAGTAGTCTACATGAAACCTCATGAAGGTTATTCTATCAATCCAGGAAAGGTTTGCAGACTGATGAAATCTCTCTATGGCTTAAAGCAGGCTTCTAGGCAATGGTTTGCAAAACTCTTGTCTGAGCTGCATTTCTTGGGTTTTGTTCAATCCAAGAATGATTATTCTTTGTTTCTCAAGTGGAACAAGGATCTTCTTACCATTGTTGCAGTCTATGTAGATGATGTGATACTCACTGGTAGTGACTGTTCTGGTATTAAAAATTCGAGGATTCATTTGGATCAGGTTTTCAGCATTAAAGATCTTGGTATTCTTCACTATTTCTTGGGCATTGAAATTGGCTACCTGCCTACTGGAATTTGCTTAACTCAGAAGAAATTCACAAGAGAACTTTTGGCAGAATGTGGTATTAGTTCTCTCAGATCAGCTGTTACTCCATTACCCCTTAATCTGAAGCTCAATGCCTCTGATGGAGATCTTCTGCAAAGTTGATCATCTCTGGTTTGTTCTTCAATTTTTCATTCTTCTACATTTGCTTGACGTTTTTCTGGAGAATTGAAATTCTTCTTTGATCTTCAATTGTTGCTCATTCTTCATAGATCGATTGCTGGAATAGTTCTGTTTGATTGATAATTGTTCTTGATTGATTCTTCTTGAATTAGTTTTCTCAGTTTTTTTTTTTTAAGAAAATTACTTCTGATTCAACTATGGATAGTACAAATGTTAGAATGCCTTTCTTAGATCCTTCACAAGATCATATATCTCCTTTCTATTTGCATCCTTTGGATAACCCTGGTATGAAACTTGTTTCTGAAAAGTTTAATGGCACTGGTTATGGTGATTGGAAAAGATCTATGTTGATTAGTTTGTCAGCTAAGAACAAACTAGGTTTTGTTGATGGTTCAATTGAGAAACCTACTGATTCTAACTTCTTGAGAGCTGGGGAACGATGTAATAGCATGATCATATCCTGGATATTAGGAGTATTGGATCACAATTTGGCTAGAAGTGTTCTGTATTTTGGTACAGCAAGAGAAATTTGGGTAAACCTTGAGGAGAGATATGGTGCTTCTTCTGGCACTGTACTCTATGCTCTTGAACAAGCAATTAATGAACTAGAACAAGGTGTTGATGATATTTCTACTTTTTACACCAAAATCAAGAGATAGAGAGCCGACTCCGCATCCTAAATCAAAGGAGGGGAAGCGGCCCTTGATTGATCTTACAAAGATCCAATTCCCTGAGATAGGGACAAGGAAGGTCATTCGGCACATCCAGCCAGATGGCACAAAGAAGACTTACTCTGATGCCCGGATATTGATCCAGTAGAAGAAGTTTCAACAACTGTTTGAGTCGACTTCAACGTCGAATTACTCAAATAGCTTAGAATACCTTAATGAGGTATTCGCAATCAAACCGAGAGGGTTTGTTAGGCAGCCTGTCCGTCCACTCTGGCCCTAGATAATCCATTCGGCTCCGTATGTGCCTCAGCAGCCATACATGTCGTATGGATAACCTTGCATGCAACCGGCCCTCTTTGGGGGGCATGCGGCACAAAACATCCAACCTTTGGACTGGAAGCTCCGTCTGCTAAAACTTGAGGAACAATCTTCTGTGTTCTCCAAGGAAATAACCGAGGCGGCACATCCCGCCAAGGTTAAAAATGTTATGGTAGGTACTTGTGATGGTACCACCAACCCAGAAGATCACCTCATGGCTTGCACCAACCTCATGTATTTACAGGGGTTGGATGATGTCGCATGGTGTCGATGCTTCCAGGCCACATTGAAGGGCGTCGTCCAACGATGGTTCAACAACCTGCCAGCCGGATGCATCAACAACTTCAAGACGCTTGCATACTTGTTTGCTTCCAACTTCTCTATGAACATCCCTGCTTAGAAAAACAAGTCTTGACTTAGGTGCAATACAGCAGGGAGATAGAGAAGGGCTACGATCATATATCAGGCGGTTCAATCCGATGAGAATTCAGATTCAAGGGTTGTCTGATAAAGTGGCATATACAGACTTCTTCAAAGGTCTGAAAGAGGGGTCGACCTTTAAATTCGACCTCGTGAGAAAGAGGGTTTCTACCCTCCAAGAAGCTCTGACAAAAAAGAGAGTCGGTCATCACAGCCGGCTAAACATGAATAAAGTAAAAAGAGAAAAGAGATTTGGGCGGCATACAGATATGAGCAGCCGTCCCAGAAGAAAAAGAAGGATTCTAAATCGTACATCCCAATGTACGAGTTTAACAAGGACTGTTATTCCATCCTCATGGAGATCAAAGACCGGGTGACCATTGAGAAGCCGGCTGCTATGAAAGGTTCTGCCAAAAATCGGAACAAAAATAAGTATTGTCACTTCCATGAGGACATTGGCCACGACACCAAATAGTCTCAGCGGCTGTTGGACCGTCTGGTTGATAAAGGAGTGCTAAACTCCTATGTTTTGAAATACAAGGTGACCCTGCAGAAAAACCATGGACAGCCGTCCAAAAAGAAGGCCTAACTTGCTAATAGTTCAGGCACTGATGAAGAACCGATCTATACCATAGCAAGCGGCTTTGCTGGAGGCGGCTCAACCATCCGGGGTACCAAGGACTACATCAGGCGGCTGGATGTCAGCTCAGTTGATGAGGGGAAGACGTCCAAGGACACTTTCCCTAAAGTTATCATCAATGAGAAATATAGTCATCACTTAGAAAGATAGGGGAAAGGTCAGGAGGCATGTACAAGGTATCTCATCCCTTAGTTGGTTTTGGGGGTGGAGTTGTGCATCCGGTAGGCCGGATAGACCTACCCATTCGGCTAGAGGATAAGGGAGAAGGACGCCACATGGTGGTCCGTTTCTTGGTTGTTGAAGAACTGACCACCTATAACTTGATATTGGGTCGTCTTACTCTAAACGAGTCCAAGGCTGTCATCATTCCTTCTCTTATGCTTCTAAAATTTGAGAGGGATGATGGATCTGTTGGCTCCCTAAGAGGAAACCAGAAGACGGCAAGAGAGTGTTATCTCTCAGACGTCAAGCCCACTGTGTTCGCATTCGGCCATAGTGAGGAAACAATAGATCTTGATGAAATCAAGAAAGTCGCGCCTGCTCCAACAACAACCAGAAAAAAAAAAAGATAGGCCGACCAGTAGGTGGCCATGAAAAAAGAAAATCAATAACAATCACTGACCGGAGAACGGCCGGATGAACTCTGTCCCAGACGTGAACACATTGATATCACCCTAGATGACACACGTCCGGATCGTACTGTTAAGGTGGGGACGATTGCTTTTGCAAAACTGGGTGTAGACTTGCACAATTTATTGAAAGAGTTCAAAGACATTTTTGCCTTTGAAGTGGATGAGATGCTAGGCATCAGCCCGGATCTACTACTAGAAATAGGCCGATTTCCGACGGACCAGTTCCGACGGACATGTTTTTCCGTCGTAAATTCCGACGGATTTTTATTCCGTCGGAAATTTATGACGGATTTCCTACGGAACAAAAATCCATCGGAATTTATGGGCTTTCCGACAGAATATTCCGTCGGAAACTTAATGTTTCGACGGAAATAAAATCCGTCGGAAATTTCCGACGGAATATTCCGTCGAAAACTTAATGTTTCGACAGAAATAAAATCCGTCGGAAAATAATTAAATAATAATAAAAAATACAAACCTAAAACCACGGTCATACATACCCCCCTTTTCATTTCTCATTTCTCTCTCCTTTCTCTTCGCCTCTCTTTCCCCTCTCCTTCTCTCGTTTCTCTGTCCTCTCCTCTCCTCTTTCCCTCTCCTCTCCTTTTTCCTCTTCTCTTTCTTCTTCCATCTTCTTTCCCTTCTCCTCTACTGTCTCAACAACAACAATGGCTACCCACCCACCGTCAACAACAACAACGGCTACCCACCCACCGTCAACAACAACAACGACTACCCACCGTCAACAACAACAACCACAACCACCGTTAACAACCACAACGACCGAGCGACAACCAACATCAACACCAACAATAACGGCGTAACAACCACCGTCATTCACTTTCAAGGTTTTTGTTTTGTAGATCTAGTTTTAATTTAGTTTAGATTGTAGATCTAGTTAATTTTTTATGTAATTGTAATATTAATTATAAATTTGATTAGATAATTGTATTTCCTTTAATTTTTGTTGTTTAATTATCATTTTTTTTTCATTTTTTTTAGAAATTCTAATTAAAAATGTAGATCTACTGATTTTGATTTTTTTGTGTGGTATTTTTCGATTATGTTGTGTTAATTTTCATATTTTTGGCCTAATTTATGTTTTTTTGGGGTTAAATTCGTTTTTTTGGGGTAAATGTTTGGTGTGGTGGTGTCGGTGGTGGTGTGTGAGGGTGGGATAGGGGCTGGTGTGGGTGGTATCGATGGTGGTAGTTGGTGGATTTGGTTTAACTTTCGGTTAGGTTTACGGCCGTTGGTGGTTTGTTGTGGGTTAGAGTTAGGTGGGTTAAGGGTTAGGTGGTGGGTGTGGTGGGTTACGGTGGTGGGTGTGGCGGGTTAAGGTCGTGGGTCTGGTTACGGTGGTGGGTCTGGTTAAGGTAGTGGGTTTGGGTGAGGTGGGTGTTTTTTTTTATTTTTTTTCAGCATTTTCCGACGGAATTCCCGTCGGGAATTTTCGACAGAATTGAATCCGTCGGAAGTTTCCGATGGATTTTTCCGGTGCCGGAAAACCTCTTCCGACGAATGTATTCCGTCGGAAACAACTTTCCGATGGAATTTCCGATGAAAAAGGTCATTTTTCCTACAAAACATTTTCCGACAACCGGTTCCGACGGAAATTCCGTCGGAAACACCTTTTCTATCGGAAAACAGGATGTTTCCGACGGAATTTCTCCGTCGGAAATGGGCTGTTTTCTAGTAGTGGATCTAGCCGTCCACAAACTCGTTGTGGATCCCAAAAGGAAGCCAGTTAGGCAAAAGAAAAGAAACCATGGCGTGGAAAGAAGTCAGGCGGCATCCGCCGAAGTCAAAAAGCTGTTAGACGTTGGGTTCATTCGGTAGTGTTACTTCCCAGATTGGGTTGCCAATGTTGTACTTGTCAAAAAGACGAACGGAACCTGGCGCATGTGTGTTGATTACACAGATTTGAACAAGGCATGTCCAAAGGATAGCTATCCTCTTCTAAAGATCGACAGTTTGGTCGACTCTACAACCAGCCATGCCTTGATGAGCTTTATAGACGCCTACTCAGGCTTTCACCATATTCCTCGGTGGAAGAAAGATCAAGAGAAAACGACATTCTCCGTTATTTTGCAGGTATAGGCGTCTGAAATCCAGTCTTGGTGTTGTAACTCTTCCGAGGGACACATAAAACCCCGAAACCCATATTATTCCATCCAAAAGCATGTAGATTACTTAGAACAAATTTAATAAGGTAATATATTATCATATAAGATGCAAAGACTTACAAAGTACATAGATATATAAATATTATCTTTATTTATCAAGAGGACAAAATTTTCTTCTTTTGCATTTCTGGCCTAGGTTCAATTTTTGAAAAGAAGACCGAGATCAAGGAGTTAATCATTTCATTATGACATCTCGTATGTCTGGTTTCTAGTTGCTAGTTGCTACAACCTATTGCCACATTCAAAAGGTTCCTTACAGTTAGGGGTGAGCAAAAAATCAGGGTACCCTGAATCAGAACCGGAACTAGAAACTGTAAGTTCCGGAATCGGAACCTGTACAAGGTTTCGGTTCCGGGTAGCAAAATGGAGAACCTGTTGTAACAGGTTCCGGTTCAGGTTCTCAAGTTTTTGGAACCAAAACCTGTAGGCTACCCTGTAACTTGTTAAAAGTATCACTTAATTTTAAATTATACACCAATTCTAATTTTTAAATAATAAATGTCAAAATCACAATTATAAATATACGTATTAAATTTGTTAGATAACTCTTATTAGTTTGTTTATTTTTTGAGTTGTAAACATTATAAATTAGTGACCAACAAGTTTTTTTTATTAAAAAAAATCTGCAAAAAGTTAGTAAGTTTATTACAAGATAGGGTACCTTGAATTTTTACAAGAACTTGTTCAACAGGTTCCGGTTCTGGTTCCCATTTTGAGAAACCTGTTGCAACAGGTTCTGGTTCCAATTCTAAGAATTTTTACAGGGTACCCTGTTATGCTCACCCCTACTTACAGTTGAATTGCTCCTGCACATTGATTGGTCGTGAGAGCTCATCGTCGCCGGTTTCTATTTTGGTCCTTTAAGTTTATTTCGTTTGATTTTTAATAATTTCATGCTTCTTGTCAATAATTTTTTTTTTGTTAAAAAAAAAATAAAAAAAAACATCCACGAATTACGTCAATGTCTGCCAATTCAGTGCAAGTGAAATCGTTTCAGACAGTAAGGTTAAAAGGTTATACTATCTTGACGCAAATCTCAAATATTATATTTGGTTTACATTACATTACTTACAATTATTTTCATCTAAAAAATTATAGGCTCTACTTCTGTTTGTTTTCAATAAAAAAAACAATCAATTTTCAAAAAAGTGTTTCACTAGTATATTACTCTGATAGCGAACACCATTAGACTATAAGAGTAGGAAGGTTTTGTGCCTCACCATATTTCCAGTAGCAAATAAATAATTTCCAAGAACTTTTACCAGAATCGCAATTATATACAAGTATAACAAAAAAAGAACCAAATCAAATATAACAATCTTATCATATCACACAAATCATACACAACTTGCAATAACACATAATGTACATGTCTAATGGTCAAACTTTCAAGACTTAGTCAAAGAAAGCTAAAGCAGTAAACTGTATCTTTCCAACAAGATATAATACACATCATCTGTGCTATCAATATATCATTCATAGATGACCATTTGCTGGAAGTGCAATCTTGTCCGGTGAAGGTACATACGAGATCGAGATCAACTCTGACCTAAGCTCTTCTTCTTTATCAGCACCTGTCACCGAAGCAGCACCATGATCATTTGTAGGTTCCTTGCCAGATTCGGAACTGAGAATATCAGGTAGAGACTTGGACTTAAGTTTTTCTGGTAGAGACTCAGAAATTGCAATAAGCAATTCTCTGGCCAGATCCAAAGAAACCTCCTTGCCAAGTGATGGGTTTTCAGCCATACACAGTCTGTTTTACTTCCTGAACAAAACAGGAAAGATCAAAATCAATCATTGAATAAGTTGAACACAGAAAATCAAATTCAACTATGGAAAGTGTACATTAGGTTAAATGAAGATAAACACTCTCATTTCATACAGATTGAAGATTTTCTACACAATACAATTGCAACACCCCTATACTTTTTTTCATTTATTATTATTATAATTTCTTTATACGTTAACTAATGCACTAAAAATCTCAAAGGAAACAATGAAAGCAATAGTGATTACAGGGACCACAGATAATATATTACATCTTCTGTAAGTAGCAAAGAGGCCGATTCAACTTATAGGATAATAATAAAAAAAATAACTGCATAACTATTAATAACAATTTTCACAAACCTATTATTCTTCTAGGAGTTCAAACATATAACACACTTTGCAAAGAACTTCTGAAACAATTCAACTGATAAAGGTGGATCACAAAGTGGGGACTTACAAGCAGAGCAATAAAGTACAAGCTCAGATACCTAGTAACTTAAGACATTGCACTTGGCTGAGGTTTAAGATCACAAAAAAAAAAAAAGAGCAAAATCTGAGCTTTATGCATGTTCTACAACAAAGAGAACCAGAAAAGATTACTTTGTATATTTCACACTTGCCTGTGTAAGTATATGAGGCTAATTTTGTACAAGAACATTCAAAATAGATGATTCAAGTAAAGCAAGCACAATCACCAACAACTTCATAACTATAATACCCACAATACCAAGATAAATCAACCAGGGTAAATCATTGTTTTAAAAAATATATAAAACCTAAAAACCAATCAAATTAGCTACACAAACTCTTATACAAACAGTGCAACATACTTTTTACAGCTTAAAATAATCACCAATAAAAAACAAACTAAAACCACAAGCAAAAGTAAACAGTGGCACCCTTTATTACCATAATTGTCAAGCCTGACTATCTAAGGAAAAGACGTTAATCCCAAGTACCTGTTGATAATCAATTGATTGTCTTCACAAATACCAGAATAGACCAGCCTTATAGCTAATGTTCATGAACCCGCACAAGCTGGCACTACAAACTTAATTCGAGTACTAGGCACACTACATATAACTCCACACACCTTTAAGTGTTCTTTTGCAGCACATATATAAAATCACTAAGTAAACCATCTAATTCTTCACCACCTCAGATTGTGGAACCAGAAATAATTATTGCCTATAGGCCATTACTTGTGCCACTTGGGAACTAAACAAGCTAAACACAGAATAGAACAAACAATTGTGACAAAAATCACACTCACAAAAGGAAGTGTTAATGTAATAATGTATCTATGGTAGTTAAAAAAAATGATCAATTTCAGGGAAATTTTAGTAAAATTACTACTGAGCAATTACTTTTACAATTTTTTTTTTACGAACAATTTGACAAAATACATAGACCAACCATTTTAAACAATCCCAAAAAAGAATTCTTATTCCTCCACTCTTAAACCTAGGCCAGGCAATCCATAAGTACATCCAAATTCGCAATGGTGTATATTTTGTCCATATTCATCAAAAATTGCATTTGACAAAAAGTCGATCAATTTGCTCATGAAAAGGAAATACAATTGAGGAGGGACATGAGCCGTGACGCCCTAGAAATCAATCAAGATCTGCCGCCACATCAAGCAATGATCTAAAACCCAAAATCAACTAAAAATAGGAAGTAAATGAATGTAAAAAAACCTACTATAGTGTCTCAATACCTTATTTCTACTACCTTGATCTTAGTCCATGACTAAATCTAGAACGAACCCTATCAATTATTGATAACTTTTTCGACGAAAACGACCTGCTAAACTTTTTACTCAATTCATCAAAAAAATCCAAACAAACAAACAAAATTCATATGCCCCCACTCCAACTTGAGAAATAAACAACACATCAATATTAAACCACTGTAGATCATACACCAACAGACCCACATCATAAAATTGAGATATAAACATTAATTAAACCTAATAATAATATCATACTATGAAACCATCAATTAAAAAAATCACTAATAATAAGTTAATCTTTCCAAAAATTCGCTTCTTTTTCCAGCAAAACCCCAACAAATCAATCAATCATAAAAACCCTTAAAAATTATATCAAATCCCAAGAATAGAGCAGCAAGATATCAATCACAATCGATTAATCCAATTATATACAACAGTACTTCGTTCTTTAACTATTTTTGCAGCATGTGATCGATTTACGAGATTCAGTAACATCAGAAATAGCAAGAAATTTTATAATTTGACAAAAAAAATAAATTGAAAAAAAATTTACAAAATTGGGAGAGATGGGTGAACGCACCTTTGGTAAGATGGTTGTAAATTGCAGAGAATGAAGAGAAGAAGGATACGATAAAGACTTTTGTTTGACAATTCAAACACGATGTCTTTGTCTGAAAGAATTTTCTAGAATTTCGCTTTTATTTCCTATTTTGCCTTTTTTGGTGGGTTTCAATGCCTTTTATTTATGGTTAAATTAATGAATGGATAATAATTTTTTGATAGGTGCCGTCAAAAATTAATGTCATTACGTATGGGGAAGTTTAATAACATATCGCATAGCCTGTGCAATGTATAGGTTATTCCTGTTAGTTAAACTTTCTCGTTAACGACATCTCTCACATGCGAAATACTACATTGTCAACACCAAAAAAAAAAAAAAAAAAAAAATTACCCCTACTCATCACCCTTTCTTTATGATTAATTAAATATATCCATGCATCATACAAATTAAAAATTAGACAACGTCCTACATTATCAAATATTCAAAATTGGGGAAAAGAAAGGCAAGAGAAACAGAATTTCAACCTTATTTAAATTCGTACCAATTATAAACTTTGTCGAAAAAAAAAAATCAATCATAAGCCGTAATCAACTAATTAACTTATTAAACCATATGTTTACCAATCAACAAAAGCCCAAACATTAGAGCAAAATGAACTTTAAAAATTCTAGAAAAATAAGAGCAAAGAAGCAAGAGCCTTTTACTCCCTCCGTCCCATAATACTTGGGACGTTGGGATGGACACGTAATTTAAGGAAATTATAAGTGGGTCAACTTAAAACATTGGTTTATTATGTAAAATATTCTCTTTTATATTTTTATATTGTAAGAAAAGAACAAGTGGGGTGGAAGTGGAGTAGGTGAGGAGAGAAAAAATGAGAGAAAATATTATTTTATTAATGGTCTCATTCTATATTTAATAACGTGTCAAGTATTGTGGGACGGACGAAAATAAGAACTGTGTCAAGTAAATTTCACGTAAGCCTAAGCGCGAATAGTTGCCGGAACTCTCCTAAGTAAAAACTTTTTCCGGCGGATATATGTGAAAGCTTTTTCCTGAACTTTCCTCGAAGAATTGAGCCTGCTGGGTATAATTTTCTCTGTGTTTCAGACAAGAATTTGTTAAACTTGCGCGGATTCTAAATTTAAGTTCAGGTAATTGTATTTTCGTGGCTTGTATAGAATTTCTAGGGTTTTTTCAGTTAACCTGGGCGAATTCATTGCATATTACAATTTAATTTAGTTTTGTTAATCTGTAGGAATGTCAATAGGTGTTGATGTATCGTCGCGGCTAATAGTAATTGATAGCTCAGAGGTGGAAGAAATTATTGTATGTGTACTTTGCTTAATTTTAGTTATTTTTTTCGATTTTCAAGTCTGAATATAAATAGGGAAATTTCGGGAATAATTTCGGGGATGAATTTGAACGGCTCTGAAACTCGTGAGGAAGTTTTGCAGTGTTTAATTCTAAAGACAATGGACGCAACCCACATTATAATTAATCAGTTTCCAATTTTGTATCAAGTTTTCTAGGCTTTATCTGCTTCCCCAGTTTATAAAGAAGTTTCCCATAAAGTAGAAGGTAGGAGTGGATGGATGATATTGATGAAGTAATTATGATGAATGTTTTTTGATAAATCTGCCATAGAATTGAAGTAAGAGTAGATAATTGAAATGGATAAAAGAGGAGGAAGAATAGACCAATATACCTTGTAGATTATTCCATTATTATGTTTTTGTTTTTGAATAGGATTTGAATATGATGTATTAATGTATGTTTATGAATATCTTAAAAGGTTTAAAGAAAATGGATCTGTTTAGCTATATACTCAATGTGGAATATATATGATAGTTTGGATTGTTAGAAAAGAAATTTGTAAATTTTGAAGTGTATAATTGATGAGATGTACCTAAAAATGTCCAACATTAATAGAGAGCAGTAAGATTGTGTTGGATTTTTGATGGTGGAAGCCTGCTATATTCATTATATAATCTCCAAAAGTTTATCTATGATGTTTGCTTGTTATCTGAATTACATCTTTCAGTCTTGTAGCTTCTTATTTTTTTGATATATTGATATTGTTGATGATAGATGAAACTGGTGGAGTATATAATTGTTGATATTGTTGATGATAGATGAAACTGGTGGAGTATATATATTTGATATGTTGATATTGTTAATGAGAGATGAAACTGGTGGAGTATATATTTTTGATATGTTAATGTTTATGTTGTATAGAAATCTATCAATATATATTTTCAGAATGCTGGAAGATAAACCTTTGAAACCTTTATGTTTTCAGGAGCTCCTTCAAACCTTTCAGAGTATTCATCTTTTAGCCAATCCATTCCATAAACTTAAATTAAATGTCTTCTTTGACAACATTGTCTCGTATGAATAAAGCTGTTGTGATGAATTTATTTTGGAGTATTGTTTCTCTCTAACAATCTGCTGTCTGCAAACTACTAGAGCAGTTTGCTTGCCAAAACTTTTCTGTAAATAATCCTTATATAAAATTAGGTTGCCTGAAACCTCAATGTGCATCATAGACAATATTAACATAACTACGTCGTGTCTCAGAAACGTTTGGTACTCCTGTAATTTGGATAATTGGGCAATTTGATGACTTAGTGTTGGTCACTATTTGATGAATTCAATGTATTGTATTGAAATTGTAGATCATGAATTTGTTGTATTAAGTTGTTAACTTGAAATCTTCTTTATTCTCTTTTTTTTTTTTTTTTTTTTTTTTTTTTTTTTGACGTGTTAAAATAGTTAAACAATTACAAAATGGAAAAAGAAGTAAGACTAGAAGAAGTTATAGCTTATAGCAGCAAGTTGATGTGACCGGTGAACTCTGCTTCGGTCAACTTTATGGATGCTACCAACCTTAGCAAATAAGAGGCAATCCTTCAATTCTGACAAATCTGCACTTGGCCTGAAAGTCCCATATCTAGGATTTGTTGAACAAGAAAGCTTCGTGTTTGCTGAACTCTGCTTCGGTCAATTTTATGGATGCTACACCAGGAGAAACTCTTTCCAAGAAGTGCAATTTGTTGTAGGGTCCATAAGAGTTGTATATCCTTCGAAACTTGTAGCAAATATTAGATTATGTGAAATCTTGTTGGCGTGTACTATTATAAGAAATTTTGTTTGATTTTGTAAAAGAAAGGTTTGGGCAAGAATGTGTCAATATCCATTCTCTATTATGGATATATTACCTAGGAAAATCTTGCTCCTAAATTTCCCATGTATAGTCTTTAATTGAACAAATAAATTTCCCATGTATCTACCTAAAAGTTAATTTGGAGGATATTCCACATAATTTCCAATAAATTATTATTAAAGTATTTATTTACTTTATGTCTTTTAGTACAATCCATCAATAATATACTTTTTTAAATTTTCAATTAATCAATTAACTTATACTACTAAAACATTTATACTTGAATTCAATAGCTAAGAAAGAACCAAAAGAGTGAGAAGTCATTTTTTTTTCCTAAATTGTAAACTTAAATCATGATTAGGTAATATATCGTCCTTCACATCGTTTCATATATGTGTTTATCGTCTCTTAGACAATTCATCGTCATTGATTATGGGGATTTTTCCCGCCACGTGGACTAATGATATCCTGTCATGTGTCATCCACGTGGACCAATCAGAGTCCGCCATGTGTCACCTCGTGAGAGGTCTAAGGTGGACCAATCAGGTCACGGCACGTGGCAGGTAGAATTGCCAACTGAGCATGTGGCCTCCTACGGCCCAAAGTTCCAGGCAATGCCCAATCAGCCCTAGGTTTACTAAAACCTACTATTGGGCACGTTTTCCAAGACCCTATAAAAGGGAGATGTTTCTCTCCTAGTAACATATATTCAGATATATTCAATACACATTAACTCTGCATCAGAGAAAGTTAGACACCTGACACCCCAAACCGAGCAATTATACATTGCAGATCCTCTCTTGGAATCCGAGAGAGACCCTTTACTTTCCGCACTTCACTCCTCAAACATGTTCTAACTTGATCGTTGGAGGCGGAGCTCCCACCCCCCGGAGTCTCCGTTGTTTTGCAGGTACAGGTGTCCAGAAAGTCAGACTTGGAATTGTAACTCTCCCGAAGGACATCAAAAAACCCCGAAACATTTGGCGTCGTCTGTGGGGAGAGTACTTCAAAGATGACTTCACAAGAACCTGTACCACCTCTTAATGAGAAGCGGCCTACGGCCGACGTCCAGGTCTTCTCAGACCAAGATACGGATGACGACTATTAAGTCGCCACCCATACGGCCCCTGACGGGTCCCTCAGGACAAGGCACATCCGTCCCACCGAAAGGAGGGAACGGAACACTAACCAGGCAGACCTTAGTGAAACAGTCGGTCAGCCGACAGGTCAGCCTCAAGCGGCGGAAGGATCCACCCCCATCACTAGAAACGACCTCATGACCCTTATGACAAGTTTCAAAGGGGAAATAAAGGATGTTATTGATAAACGGACGGTTATCCCTTCTAAAGAACAGTCGGCCAAGAAACCCTCTTATTCTGGGAGGAAAAAGCCGGTCCAAGACCGAGAGGCCACTCCTTACCCTAAACCAAGGGAGGGACGAAAGCCTTTGATAAACCTGGCTGGACTGCGGCTCCCTGAGCTAGGGCAGAGGAAGGAAATTCGGCTTATACAGCCGGATGGTTCTAAGAGAACATATTCCGATGCTCGGATGATAATCCAGCAAAAGAAGAATATGCAACTGTTAGAGTCGGCCTCCACATCGAACTTCAATGACAGTTTTCAGAATGCCTCACTGAGGTATTCTCAGCCAAACCAAGAAGACCAGACAGGCGGCCTGTCCGCCCATATTAGTCCTCAGATGTTCCAGGAGGCCCCGTATGTGCCTCAACATCCATACATGTCGTATGGACCACATAACATGCAGCCTACCCTCTTCGGGGGGCAGGCGGCACCCAACATCTAGCCTTTGGATTGGAAGCTCCGATTGCTCAAACTTGGGGAACAGCCTTCAGCTTTCTCTAAGGAAATAACTGAGGCCGCACAGCCGGCCAAGGTGAAGAATGTGTTGGTGGGCACTTATGATGGTACCTCCAACCCAGAAGACCACCTGATGGCATACACCAACCTTATGTATCTACAAGGGTTAGATGATGCTACTTGGTGTAGATGTTTCCCGGCCACATTGAAGGGCGTCGCCCAGCAATGGTTCGGCAACCTACCAGCCGGATGCATCAAACTTCAAGACGCTGACATACCTGTTCGCGTCAAACTTCTCAATGAATATCCCTGCAAAGAAGACAAGTCGGCCTTTAAGTTTACAACAGGGAGAGAAGGAGGGGTTGCGCTCATATATCAAGCTCTTCAATCTGATGAAGATTCAAATTCAAGGGCTGTCTGATGAGGTAGCTTACACAGACTTTTTCAAAGGTCTGAAGGACAGGTCGGCCTTTAAGTTTGACCTCGTTAGAAAGAGGGTGGCTACCCTCCAAGAGGCACTGATGAGGTGAATGCCTATATGCAGGCGACCGAGCTCTACAACATCAAAAAGCAGTCGGACTCAAAGAGGTCCGACAAAAAAGAGAGTCGGCCATCAAGGCCGGCTAAGAAAGAAGAAAAGAAAAGAAAACAAGTCTGGGTGGCTGAATCCTCTGAACAGCCGTCCCAGAAGAAAAAGAGAGAAGCGAAGACGTAATCCCTAAAGTACGAATTCAATAAAGATTGCTACTCAATCCTCATGGAAATTAAGGACCGAGTCTCTATCGACAAGCCGACTCCTATGAAGGGTTTGATGAGTGGCATTTATAACACCATTTCACCCTCTTTCATTAGAGAATTCCCCCAATTTGTCACTTGTTTACGCCTATTCTTACTGCTTTTACTTCTATTTTAGTTACTTTAGGTCCCTCTCGTGTTTTCCCTTCCCTTTTATCTTTTCTTCCACTTTTTACCTTCTATTTGTGTGTTTTGATAGCTCCTAGCACTCGTGGGCGAATTTTGGATTGCTAGATAGAGTGGGGATGCTAAGGAAGCTTGCCAAAGGAAGAGGAGATGCCACAAGGGAGAGGGCGCGCTGCTACATAGGGTCGTGGGCGCGGGCTTCATAGCCGCGGGCACGGACAGGGAGGTCCTGAGCCATTGGATAGTTTCTAGAGATGGCTGGGAGATGGTGAGCCGCGGGCGCGGCGTGCTGGGTTTGGCGTACTTCCTACCCAACACGGAGAGGGCGCAGCAACCAGCTTGGAGAGCCCTCTCCTTTGTCCATTTTCCTTAATTTTAGGGGAGACTATAAATAGTCTTGGGCTTGAATCTTCAATCATCCACTATCCCATTGGCATCAAAACACTTTACAGAGAGAGAAAATGCATGTCTTTTAGAGAGAGAAAACACTTAGTCTTCAAGATTTAATCTTTGTAATCAAATATTCAAGCTTTCTTCTAGATTATTGCAACTACTTTGATGATTGGGTAATCCTTCAACATTTATAATAGTAATCTTTTCTCTTATTTCTCTAGTACTTAGTTTTATTGCTCTTATTTATGTTTTCTTCATAAATTTCTATGCTTTATTTGTTTCATTGATTTCTCTTTGACTTAGAATCATGCTAGGTTGTATTAGGATTGAATACATGTTAGGGTTAGTTGTCATGGCTATTCCCCTTTCTCTAGATTAGATTTTTAGCTAGGGAAGGGGGTGAAAATCATGTTTATTTGAGTTCCTATTGATTATTGATTGGATTTTACCTTGAGTTAATGATGTGTGCTTAAATATTCTTGGAGTTATTGTGTGCACCTATAACCCCAATGTTTTAGTCCTAGATTAGATGCATGAGAATGATCTAGTTTAGGGTTGATTGACTTCATCGACTTGCTTTGAGTAGTTGCGTGAGAATGAATTGCTTTGAGTAGAGTTTGAATTCCTTGGTATATTTCTTTATTGATTTTCATTAGTGTCTTGTGGTCATGATTGGTGTTTCGGGGTTTTCTGATGTCCTGCGGGAGAGTTACAATTCCGAGACTGGAACCGGACGCCTGTACCTGCAAAATAACGGAGACTCCTGAGAGCTCCGCCTCCAACGGTCAAGTTAGTACCTGATTAAGGAGTAATCAATACAGAAATTAAAGTAATGAGATCTCTCTAGGTGAGAGTGCTTAGTGTTGGTAATCTGCGTTGTTAGCGAGATTAGCCGGTTGTTAATAACTCTGTTCTTCTCTGCTTGATCTCTTGATTAATGAGGATTAATTAAGTATTTATAGTCTTGAGATGCGTGCCACTCTCTAGGTTTAGGGTAAACCTAGGACTGACCGGGCCTCTAGACAGGATTGGGCCTTGTTGGCCGGTTTTCCCATTTGGCATGGGTGGACACGTGGCGTGCCTCGATTGGTCCGTAGAGGACGTATCTGTGATTGACACGTGGCAGGCTCCTATTGGCCTTCGTGAAGGACACGTGGCGGAACCTGGTTGGTCCACTTGTCAGACGGTGATTGGTGGATAAAAATCCCCTAATCATTTGCCCCTCACAGGTGGCACGTGACTGGTCACGTGTCGCCTGTGACAGGTGTCGCACGGTGACAGGCGACGGCCTGCTACAGGTGTCACCTTGCAAACGGCCGAGAGATTTTCCCGCCCAAATTTTGAATTTGGAAGCGACCCTTCGCCTTCTCACTTTGCCTATATAAGGAAGTGCTGACTTCGGTCATTTTCACATTTGAGAACTTTGCGAGAACATTCGGACCCCTGAACTTGCTCTGACATTTCGGACCTTTTCTGCCTACCGCCTGTTCTGACAAGCCGACTGCACCGGACTTCCAGAACTTCATCAACCGTCACTCGTTCAGGTAACTCAGTTCTCTTACTCTTAATTTTCTTTTTATTTTTTGAAATGGCACCACGGAAGCACACGACACGACCTAAGTTAGTGATCAGCCGGTCACCGGGGACGGCTGAATCTAGGACTAGGAGTGCCGCCTGCCCTTTTCTGGACCCATCTTTGCCCTTTATACAAAGTCCGACTGTATCTGTGCCTATGCAGAACGTGATGGCCAGAACAAAACAGACTGCTATGATATCAAACTCAGACGGCTCCTCCCAAAGGGTGCTCCTTAGTGAAACATCTGACCAGGCGCCAGATGTAGAATTGAAACGAGGCGGCTGCCAAGCCGACAGTTCTGAGAGAGGGGCCAAGGGGGTCCCTTCCCATCTTACCGTTGACATGTCTAATTTTCCTTCTGCTCCTTCTAAGGGAGAGGAGGCGGGCCCCTCTGGGAGAGGGGAGGAGTCGTCCTCTTCGGACTCGTCAGAGGACGAGTCCGAGTCCAGCTCTTCTGGCCACAGTTCTCCAGGCTC